CCCACCTCTCCCAGTCCCCATCCCCTGCCTGGCCTTGACTGACTGGTTCAGGTCTCACTGCATTTCTGCCGCACATCTAACTGGCCATCCAGGCAGAGGCAGCGCGTGCTCCCTGCCTCCCTCCATGGACAAGGTTATTACCCATGAACCACGTTCTCTCCATTGCACTGGCTTCCCAGACGCACCTGGCTCAAAGGGAAGTGACTGATGTTCCCCCCTGGGTTTTGAATGTAGAGTGTTCATGTGTATTTCTTTTTAAATTAAGTGATTCCCTCAATATGTTCCCCTTGATTTGTTTCACTGGTACTCATAGAACGTTTCTGGAATGGTCTGAATTTTAAAAAGAAAAACTCATGAGAACTGGCAATCCGCTCTGGTAAACTACCCGCCTGGCTAGCCTTGGGAGGAAGGAGAGAGGGAGTGGGGGTGAAGGGCACAGCAGCCTTGGGCCCAACCCGGCCCTGGGTATCTCAGGGAGCACCAGGTGGGACTTTCTTTACCCACTGCCTTCTTTGACCAAGAGGTGCCACAGGACAGCTGAGCACTTACAGGTCCACAGCCTTAGAGAGCTAATCAGAATCCGAACTTCTGGCTGAAGTATCAGAGAAACGCTCAGATCTGATTGACAGACTTTATTGTTAAATCACAGAAACTTTAGTGCAAAACAAAAAAATCATTAAGTCCATTTAGTGGCAACTGCAGGTCTTGCTGTCCCCTGACAACCAGAAATGTGACAGAAGAGTCAGCCAAACAAGAGAGGAGGCAGGGCAGCAGCCAAGGCCCCCTGAACAGCGCACCCAGCAGGCCCTCTACCCAGAAGCCAGAGGCTTAGGAGCTGGTCATCCACATTTATTTCAAGGTCAAAAGCAATATCCAAGAAATGGGTCAGGTGAGGGGCTGACAGCCCAGAGCAGTAGTGGGCCCGGGAAGGACAGAGGCACAGAGCAGGCATGAGGTGGTCACCGCTGTCCACATGTTCACACAAGCCAGGCCCACAGAACCTCCACATTGAGTTATGCAGGTTGCACCCAGGCAGACATCCCACCACCCCACCCCACCTCCCGCAAACCCACAGAACCCTAAACAAGGCATCACCAGGGAAGACACAGGAAAGGTGGATCAAAGGTTGACCCAGGAGCAGCAAACCCAAACCCCACCCAGGTCTCCTGAGCAGCCACTTCCAAAATCTATTTCAGTGCAAACTATACTGTGTAAAAGCCTAATTATTTTGAGCCTCTAATCTTTCATATAAAGCTGCCTTTCTTTGCTTCTTTGTCTAGCAGCCAAGAGGCCCAGGAAGGGGGAGGTGTCCCTCAGGGTAGGCAGAGGCCTCAGACGCCCAAGCCCACGAGCGCCCATGCACCCACCGGTCAGGGCTCAGAGCAAAGCCCCAACCAAGAGGACAGATGGCCTTCTGTGGAGAAGCCCTGGCTGCTGCCAGCAGTGAGCCCCTTCCTCTTCCAGGTAACCACATGCAAGGGCAAGTGAACGGCCTCCAGGGTGCAGGACATCACTATCCAGGTGGCAGAAAGAAAAGGATACTGAAGCAGTATGTCAATGGCGGCCTAGGCACCTCCTGCACTGACAGTAAAGCTACAACAAGGGAGATAAATGGCGTGAGGGGAAGGGGGGCCTATTTTTATAACAAAGTCAGTAGATCTGTGTTCATTCCCCCAGACATACAAATAGGAAAAGATGCCGTGGTTTCTCCAAGATGGAGCTTCCTCTCTAGTTCCACACGTGACGTTTGCAATGCTCGACAGCCTGATAAGAGAGAGAAAACTGGGTTACTCTTCAGATAACAAACTCCATCCCTGGCCATTCACATATCAGACATCACCCCCAAATGGAAACTTAATCTTGTCCTAGGTCAGCTGGACAGCACCAGACACTGAAGACCCAGGACAGCAGCTCATTTAAAACTGGGGTGCACGTGCTCATCAATTCTGGGGACTCCAAAGGCAAGCGTCCAGAACAGCAGGTGCAAAGCACGGTGATGTTCTGCAGATAAGCACCATGCAGGTAGGGCGAGGACCCCTTTGTCTAGTCACACACGAGGCCCAGCATCAGCTGACGGGCTGCACTGGAAGCCCCAAGGCAGAACTCCTCACCCGAGAGTCAGAGGTACACACCAGCTCAGACCTTAGAAATGGACCCACAGGCCCACTGACCCAGGACAGCAGCAGAAACCTGCTCCACCACAGGCATGCTATGGGTTAGGGCCCGGCTGGAGGAAGGAGGTGGACACGGCCAGGATGGGCCTCGCCACCCCTCCCTGCAGTGGCCCAAAATGATACAACCTCTCCCAAATCAGCAGTCAGCCCCTCCTCCCCGACTAGAGAAACTCACGAGGTAGAAAAAGTTGCGCAAATGAGCATTAAGTAACAGAGTCTGGTCCAAACATCCCCACCCAGGAAAACAGCATGGAGAGGTCACCCAACAACTGGTGGCTATCCAGCCAGGATGGTGCCATAGCACCCTGGGGCTGTTGGGCAGGTGCTACCTTTCAGGGCCTTTCTAAAACAGCTCTGCTTGGCTGTGGGTGAAGATTCAGGCCAGGCTCCAACCAGAGCAAAAGTGACACCCGAGGAACATGAGGTCTTATGTAAGAATTGGGACAATGAACCCAATAGGCCTTGTGCAATCCCTGGAGGGACCTCATGCAAATTTGACCCTCTCAGAGGAAACTGGAGGTGAAAGCAAGAAAGCAGAAACAAGAAAACATTAAAGACTACCCATCCCTACCCTTCACTCCTCAAGAACACAGCTAGCCCTGCCTTTGCTGGGCAGCCATGAGAAAGCCTAGTTGCCTCTCTTCACCAGTGTTTACACTAACATAAAGACAGAGTAGAGCATCGGTCAACAAGGCTCCTGTTAAAGCAGGAATGTCAATCAAGCTGCCTCCTGGCAAGGCAGGCCTGCAGAGCAGTTGCTGAGCTACTCACGTTGCACAAGGTTGCTGCCTCCATGTTCTGGCACCAGTAGCTTGGGCCCCAGACACACTTCTCCGCTCCCAAAAGAGGCTTATGGGCCTTGGGGCAGGCTCCAATTTTCTATATGGTGAAAAGGGCAAACAAAGGGAGGATTAGATCTGACCAACTAAGCCTTCCCAGAAATGAGGTTATCGGCTTCCAGAAGCATGGAGAAGTGGAGCTCTGGCATGCACTTCCAAAAACCATGGGGGCTGCCAAGTAAGTAGTGGAGCCTAGAACTGGTTGGTTATCTTCCGGGCTCCTCATGCCCCATTTCCAGGGACTCTGGCCCATGGCCAAAACCCTCAGAAGAACCTTCCAGGGTCCACACAGCACCTCCCAGGTCACATGCCCAGGAACCCACGCTGCTCAGCAGAACTCACCGAACACACGTAGGATGGCTCCATCACCTCCACCAGGATTTCTAACAGCACGGGCTCGTACTCGGTCACAAACTGGTCACACTATGAAGTACACAGGGACACGGGTTCAGGTCTACGTGTGCCCAAGCAGAGTGGGAGGGTAAAGAGAGGGGAGCTGGGCATGGTCTTCTATAAGAACTCCTGACTTTGCCAGCCCAGTGGTCCCAGGGCCTCTTTCACAGATGCCCCACCCACACTCGACTCGCTTGTTATTTTCCCCCAGTGGCTCCATTTGAGCCAACAGATCGCCTCTGAGAAAAATGTCACTGGACTCGATGCCTACAGGCAGAAATGGCTTCAAAACTTCAGTCAAGGGTACAATCAGTGAACCCAGCCTTTGTATCCTCAGGCAGGTTCGGATTTGGGCAGAAAACAGCCCAGGGCATATACCTGCTTCTTATATGGGTCAGGCAGGAAGTTGCAGCCTTTCTCAAGAGCAGCCAAGATCTCTTCCTTTGTGCTGTTTTTCTCCAGGTTGTTGTCCAAATAGCCAACCAGCTTTTTGCACACCTCACAGAAGCCACCATCCTTCTGCCGAGTCACGTGTGCTATAAAAAAGAGCGCAGGCTCAGTGGCGGCAGAGCCCCTCCCAAACCTGAGGGGCCAGCCAGCCTCACTCCCACTGGGCTCACCGGTCAGCGCGGGCAGTCCCTGGGAGGTGCAGAGTTGGAGCATGCTGCACACCAACTCAGGGCTCGCCTCCTGCAGGAGGATCGACAGGATGGAGCGGCCATAAGTGTCCACCACTTCTTGGCACTCTTCAGACAAGGATGTGGGCAATTTTGAGCACACTTTATCCAAAGCGTGAATTATTTCTTCCTGCAACACAAGAGGATTATGTGGGAAGATGGCAGGCTGGGTAAAGATGGGAGAGATTTGTGTCCAGCACCAGCAATGACTAAGCCCACCTCTTCTGCTGGGTTCCCCCGCTAGGCCACTCTGGCTCAAGGGATACCGGAGAGCTCCTCCCTCTGCCAGGAGGGCAGTATTCTGGAAACCCACATACCTCAGTCTTGTTGCTGTCAATCATCCCGACCAACTCCTTCACCACGTACTCACAGAGCTCACAGTAAATATCAGCCTTCGCCTGGACCAGGTCCTTCTGTTGAGGGGGTAAAAGGAGAATACCTGAATGCTGAAGCCCTCACCTCACCCCTTAGTCCTGCTCCTCTAAAGGAGAGGGACACAGAGGCCAAGGACAGATTAACATCACAAAGGGCCACTTCCTACTGAATTCAAAATGACATATGGCTTCCTCCCAGGGTCTAAGCTCCAGTCCCTCTTGTTTTTATAAGGTGCGAGACCCGTCCCTTTCACCAATCCTCTACCATCACCACCTCCCACCACCCCACCCCCCAACACCAGGAATTTATACTTCAGAGAAAGCAGTGAAACTGTCCCCCAACCCAAAGAGCTGTCCATGTGATGCTGTGTTTGGTTACAATTATTTAATCATTCAGCGTTCATCCTGGGGAGTAGATGGAGCATGAATAAAGTAAGGATTCACTACTATTTAGAACCCAGTTTTAAACACATTTTAGGTCTGTTCTCGAGTTTCCAGTCTCATTAACACCTGAAATTGCCTTTCTAGAGCCTGCCTTTAATACAGGCAATTCTGTTGAGTAGGAGTTTCTGGGACAACGAAAATATTCTCTATCCTGCTGTCAAATGTAGCAGTCACTAGCCATGTCTCTACTGAACGCCTGAAATGTGGCTAGTGTAACCAAGGAACTGAATTTTTTTTTTAATCCTTACCTAAGGACATGTTTAGAGAGAAAGGGGAAGAGGGGGAGGGGGAGAGAGGGAAAGAGGGGGGGAGAGAGGGACAAACACATCGGTCAGTTGCCTCCCCTATGTGCCCCAACCAGGGATTGAACCTGCAACCTAGGTATGTGCCCTGACTGGGAATTGAGCCTGCAACCTTTTGGTGCATAGGATGATGCTCCAACCAGCTGAGCTACCTGACCAGTGCCTATATTTTGTTTTGTTTTGTTTTGTTTTGTTTAAAAGTCATGTGACTAGAATACAAACTATAACTCTCCATCTTCTCTGGCCATTAATCCTGCCAGCCAGGTGGGCCAGGGCCTATGAGCGTCTCAGCTGGGGACTAGGGGCAGGGAGCAATGTTTCCTGGACTCTATCTGACACCTTAACCCTCCCTGTGGTCCACACTGCACATGCTGAGAGAGGACAGTGGAGGGGAACAAGACAGCTAAAGGAGACGAAAAGTGCATGCATGTGCCATATGGTGCACTATCACACCATATGGCACACAAGGACAATTTAGTTTACTACTGTAGGTGGGCTATTCTAGACCTCAACTCTAAAACACTGCCTGACCTGTAAGACGTGAGTATAAACTGATTATGGAATAAAGGAGGCTCTTCAAGTGAAACACAACAGACACCCGTGTGCACAGAAAGCACACCGAGAGAGACGTCTAGGAATACGAAGTTTGTACTATGGTTCCGAAGTGTGGGGGAGGGTGTGGGGCGGCCACAGAGAGCACACCATAAGAGGTTAGGTTGGAGTTAGGCACTGAAAAATGATCTCAAATGACGTGCTAAATAAATGTAGACTTGACCCCATGAGCTCTAGGGCTTATAACCAAGGAAATAAATGTACTCAATATGACACTGGCCAGTACAAAACAATGACACCAGGTACCTTAACAGGCTCCACCAGTTTCAGAGCAGGGATGACGTCCTCCGGGCCCACTTTGGCAGGGATCAGAGGCTGCATGGGGATCTCCTTCACCTCATCACAGAACCCAACCAGTCCACAAATATCCTTGGGTTGCTGAAGAGAGCACAGAAAAAGCAGTCAGATGGCAGTGCAGGCCTACACCCACCACCCCCACCTCCCACTCTCTATACCCAAAGGCCAGAGGGCCAGAGGAGCAACCTGGTCCCAATGCCAAGGGCTGACATTGTAAAGACGCCACATTAAATCTAAAGGAGCTCATTAAATCTAAAGGAGCTCGTGCAAATGCAGATGGACCAGTTTCAAGTAGGGAAGGAGGCCACACAAAGCTCTGGGGGGAGATCAAACAGAACCCACTCTGCTCTAACCAGGGAGCACCCCAGGGAAGCCAGACTCCCACACCTTTAATGGTGATCAACCATCTCCAAGGACACCGGTCTGCTCTAGAACCTGCTTTTCAGTTGAGCTCAGTGGGAAGTAAGCTCTATGTTATTTCTAGAGAAGGAACTACTATGCTTATAAATTAATAGAAGCAAACGTGTTAGAAGTAAAACCACACTGGATCATTTAATGGCAAGACCATTTAAAATGATGCATTAAGGGAAAATGTTAGCTTTTTAAAAAACCACATTCCATGTTCACAACTGCACACACACAGTTCACACAAAAACCCAGTCCCCCAAATTCATGAAGCCTTCAAGTCACCAGATTGATCCCCTTTCCCAATCAGACACCAAACCACAAAGAACTAGATAGTTTGGACAGTTTAACCATTTCACTATAAAAGTATACACATTCTGTATACTTTGTAAACCAAATGCAACCAGCAACTAGCTCTGGGCCTGATGGCACCTGCCTCCCATCACCAAACCATAAAGCAGCAGGAACAGGATTGCTAAAATGAGACCTGTTAAGAGAGCTAGACCATGGCTATGGTTCACCTTGTTTTAATACCAAGAAGGCTAAAATTAAGGTTGGGGGAGTCTGAAAGTGTACCTGACGCATCTTATCTGTGGCACACTTAAAGAATAGGGGAAAAACAGAACAGGGCCAGACACAGCAGCTTTCTAGAGAAAGACCAAGACTCAGGAGGTGTGTGGCTGCTTTCTCAGATCGGCTTTGTTCTACTAACTCCATGAGGTGGCCTAAGTGAAAATTCAGATATTTCAGCAAAAGTTCCCTCCCATTAGTCTCCAAAAATCCTCAGTTCCACTGCTCAGAAGGAAGCAATGCTCGGTACAGCCCCAAAAGGGCACCTGGCTCCATAAGTCTGGTCTGATGGCTCAGAGCCCCCCTTTATGCCACGCAGCATAGCTCTCAAGCTGTCTGATGTGGCTCCAGGACCCGCAGGACCCCATCACCCAGAGGGACAAAGCTGCAATCAAGAGATCATTTCCAATGCTCTGGATCCAGCAGACAGATACAGTCTGCTCTCTATTTGCAAGTGATCTGCTCATGCAGCAGAAGCAGTTCTGGGTTACAGAAAACAGGACTAAAGACATGCAGTGCTCTCAAGTCATGACAGAAACAAGGTCCCACCAGAAGTCAGGCCTACAGTGCAGGAAGCTGAGGCATCTCTGGGACCACCCATGGTTCCCCATCATCACACTGGTGGTCTGGCATTTGGCCCACTGGGCACTGATTTGGCCCAGAGTGTGAGGCTCTGCTGGCTTCATTTTCTGGCCCCCTGAAGGGGAGATGGAACCCCCAACACTTCTAGTGTTGAATCACAGAAGAGATGCAGAAGCTCCCCTGCCAGCCTATAAACACAGAGAGGGACCCAGCCTTTCACAATCTTTCCTTGTATCTGTCAGAGGGGACCATGCCATACAAAAAGATAAGCAAAGAGCTACAAGCAGCAGAAGACCACTACTACAAGCAAATCCCCCATCACATACCTGATCCTGCTGTTGAACAAAAAAACCAGGAAATCGGAGATAAAAATAAGAGAAAGGAAAGGACACAACAGTTAAGAAACATTAAAATAACAAGTAGTTAACCAGGTGTAGGGTATCACCAGAAGTTTAGGGGAACCGTCCTTGCAATCACAAATCAGCCACCTACCTTGTTCCTACTATTGGGTGCGCACGAGGCCCTACAAACTGCTCTTACCCTCCTTAATGGACAGGTCACACTCCCCAGCTTGTGTGTGCACCATCCTGATGTCCCCGATACACCAAATCATGTTCAAAACACTGGGCAGCAGGTCCCCAGAAACTGCCATATTGTGACGGGCTCTCCATCCCCGAAGCCCAACCCCACCACACCTGCAAGGCCCTGCCCTCAGGTTGGTTATGAGCAGCAAAATGGAACAAGACACAGAGCTGCCCAAATTAGGTGTGTTATAAAATATAGCTGGAGGGTTAGAGACCCTGAGCCACACTCTCTTCTGCCCAGGTCTCCTGGCAATCTACCCCCAGGTGGCCAAAGCCATCTGGAAGGCTGGTTTGACACTATCAAAAGCTTTGCCCTTTGGTTCAGCAATTCCAGTTTTAATTACCTACACTAAGGGGAAAAATAGGGATTTGGCTATAAGAATGTTCATCGTGCTTTTTATCCCAAGGGCAAACCTGAAAACAACCCAAACATCCAGCCACTGGGGATTGGTTACATAAATTATGTTCTAGTCAGAGTGAAATATTATGCAGACACTTAAATCATTTGTACAAAATATTTAATGACCAATGTAATTTTAGGTAAAAAATGCAAACTATAAAATTTGCAGAAGTATATAAAATATGACCTCATGGTGTTTTTTAAAACCCCATATTTTTTATTTGATTTTTTATTTGGGAAGTATTATCTGCATTTTCAAAGAATTTATATGCAGTCTAATTTTTACAGTGAGACAAATATTTTTTAGTTATCTATGAGGAGCATAACTAGATCAGTCACATAAAAGGCTTATTTTTTTCCTACTCACTGCATGTCTTTGTAAGCTGCCTTAGACCTTGGTGCAGCATGAGTAATAATACCAAATAACCTCAACTGACTGCGTGGAGTGCTCAGTTGTTAGAGTAGGGCAGCAAGCAAATCTTTTAGGCCTTGCAAGGCATTAAGATCTCAACTACTCAACTCTGCTGCTGTATCGCAAAATGGGCACTGCTACATTCCAATGAAACTACCAAAACATTCCTGGTTAGAGACCTCAAGGACTGTAGGCAAATCAACATAATCAGAAGCAAGCATGACAGAAAGCAAAAAGTGCAACCCACCCTCCAACCCTGCAGATTGGGTCTAAAGGAGGCCAGAGCCATGTCCCCAATGGAATGATGCTCCAGACCACTCTGTTCTGTACAGCAGTTTTCTGCATGGAACTGGCTGGCTAGCTGATGATACTTTTCATCTCTAATAACGAAGGGATGCCCCTACCCCCTGAATACATCAGAGGCAAGTGCGAGGGTTATGGACTCATGCAGCACGGACAGCTAACACTGCTACAGAGCACAGGATCAGCTCTAAGAGGAGAGATTCTCCCCTCCTTGGAATTTGGGCTGCAACACAGTAATTCTCAGGCCTGGCCTAGCTACAGAGCAGACTATTCCCATGGGGCCCAGGTGACAGCCAGCTCACATATGCACAGGCAAATGAACCACCAGAATGCACCAGGGCAGTGGTGAGGGTGAGGCTAGGAAAGGTAAGGGGGCGGTAGGTAGTGAGCTGCAGGTAGTGTCAGCTGGTCAAAAAGGGCTCATTTTGGCCTAATTTAGTACTCAAAGGTAAATTAGGGAAACTAAGCCATATACTTTTCAAAATTCCTGGAAATCACAGAGTTTGAGATAAAGAAAAATGCTAAAAAGGAACCTCCCCTGCCACCTACCATATGCATCATCCACTGGACAGCAATGTCAGAATACTGGTTGACGTAGTTCTTGCACTGGGGACAGAGGAACAAATTGTTAGTGAAATTAACTGCTACAACACACACAAAAAATAAGCATTTCCAACACCAGAGTACATTCTTGTAAATGTCTGCCCTGGGCAAGTTTTTTTAAGACAAAAATGGCAATTTGGTTATTCTCTACCTTATAGAAAACCGTATGCAAAAGGTGTTTTGAAAATGTTTACCAAAGGCCCTGAAAGATAAGGTTCTCCAATCTCCTCTTTGCTCTAACCTTGCTCCAAGGTGACAGAGTTACTATTCAGTAGCAATTTACAGTGAGTGTGGCTGTGAGATATACTATTGGGAATCAGAGATTACTTTTTATATCCATTCACACATTCTTGGACAGAATGATTAAGTTGAAATCCAGTAGAATCAAGTTATAATGATTTGCAACCTGCCAATTTTTATACACACCTAGGTATTGCCTGTGGACCCTCAGAGAATAGGCCCTAACTGGAGAGCCTCCACAGTGAGAAAACCAAGGGTAATATGACAGCCCTCCATATTGGAGGAGCCCATATGAAAAGATACTTGAATGAGGCCAAAAGATTCCCAGGCTTTCAAGAGAGTAAGTCATCAGAAAGGAACCCTCACCTCCCAGAGCCAGCCACTGCCACCCAGAAAGGCTGCTCTAGCTCCCAGACCCATGGAGTCATTATAACCAGCTTCCCTACATCCAGTCTAGCAGAGGCTATTTGATTGTCAGGTACTAACTAAACTGGCATTTTGGTTTTACACACCAACCTTTTGAGCGTCGTTAATGTGAACAGGGTCCAAGACATAAAGTCCCCTAAGGGAGTTTCTGAGCCCACAGGACTAACATTCACCAAGGTAAGGAAGACATCTGGGGGAACCTCCTGCAAGCCAGTTGGCAGCTTACCACAGACAGCAACCCTGCTGGCTGTGGGAAGAGCACACTTAGAATCATGAACATAGAACAGCCAGGCTTTTAAAAACAGGGTTATGCCCAGCCAGCATGGCTCAGTGGTTGAGCATAAACCCATGATCCAGGAAAACCCAGCTGGATTCCTGGTCAGGGCACAAGCCCGTGTTGCAGGCTCAATCCCCAGCAGGGGGGTACAGGAGGCAGTTGATCAATGACTCTCTTATCATTGATGTTTCTCTCTCTCTCTCCCTCCCTCTCCCTTCCTCTCTATGAAATCAGTAAAAATATACTTTAAAAAACAAACAAAAAAAACAGGGTTATAAGTGGTTCTAGTATTGTTTCTTATATATATGGTTACAGGGAGAAAAAAATCTTCACCAAAGTGGTCATCCTCCACTATTTTGTCCCAAGAGTTTTGTTACACGTACAAATGCAATTAACCAACAAAGTATGTTAGTATCCACCACCTATTCCTGCTGCTTTCTGGAAGAGAAATTGGGAGCTGAACAATTTCTTCCTCAAAGCCCCTAAGATGGAACTTTAAATGGTAGCCCAGGAAGTGGAGTGTTCTTGGTTCCCCCACTCCTGTCTCTGGAGCCCATGAAGAGGTAAGGCTCACCATGCTAGCCATGCCAGGCCCCAAGCGGTCACACTCCTCCCTGGCATGTTCCACCAAAGCCTGGACAAAGGTGGAGTTGGTCCTTATGGCATTCTGGACGTCAGTCACCAGCTGGATGCAGTCCTGGCAAACATCCCCACCAGCCTACAGAGACAGAGGTGGTTAGGCTGTCAACATGGCACACTCCCACAGTAACCAAGAAGATTCAAATTCCTAGGGAAAAGTCCTCACATGCTCGCAACCACAGCACTGGGTGTGACTCCCTGAACAGTTCACAATGTGTTTTTACAGGCTCTAAAATTGTTGAGTTTTAAAATCAACTGGGCATTGATTTTAGTAAAACTTCATAGGAAGGGGGGGAAATCTTTGCATATTTTTTAAATCCCAGTTTTTAAATTGAATTTAACTTAACGTAAATGTCTGGGTTCTTCAGCAACTCCATGGCACAACCATTTGAAGGCTGGCTGGTGTGAGTTCCCAGTTCAGCACACATACACTGCCACTTTCAGGTGTCATCTCTAATCCAAACAAAAGTGGAGCCCAGGGGCAAGGCCCACTGCTTACCTTTGGCTGGGGCTCTCTGTGGGGGCCGTCCTGAGGGTAGAGGAGGAGGGGGACGTTGGCCATGAAGGGAGCCACCACCTCAGCCATGTCCAGTTCTGGGATCTTGTTGGACTCAAGCTGTTTCTGGTGATTGAGCTCTGCCAGGTGCTTCTGAAGAGACTCGCAGAGATTGAGAGCAGAGCATACCTCGCCGGGATGGCTCTGATGGGGAAAGAAGTCCAGCTAGAAATCCTCTCCCCAGAGGAAAACGAAAGAGGCCACCTGGTGCCTCGGAATTAGTCCGCTTCCTTCTCTCTTGGCTGAACTCACACGTGCACATCCAGTTCACAGACACCTCAAACTAAACTACCCAGCCTGCTACAACTCCATCTCCATTTTAGCTATGGCCTAAGCACTCATCTCCCTGTAGTTCAAACCAGAAACCTGGAAGACATCCCCTCCATCAATAAGTGTAGTCCACTTATCCTCTAAAAAACATGCATCTGTCCATCTCCACTGCCCCCAGCACATCTGACACCTGACTGTCCGGCCAGCCTCCCCTCTTTCAACTCCCTATCAGTGGGACCTAGACCAAACCCTCTCAAAAAGGTACCTATCATCACAGCATTCCTCTCCTTGAAACCCAGGAACTTCCTGCTGCACCTGAAATCCTTAAACATGGCCTAAAAGGCCTTGCATGATGTAAGGCCACAGTCCTTACCAAAACCTTGGTCCCATCTTGGGACAGTGGCCCTCTCAGTTTTTTAAGCACCTCTTCTTTCTTAGGGTCTTTCCAAATCTCACAGACCTGGCTCCTTGCTCATTGCCAAAAACTCAACCTCTGGCATATGGTTTACACACACCAGATACTTACTGAATGAAAGGTGAGTTTCCTTCTAGCTGAACCCACAATACATTCCCTGACTTCTTAGGATAAAAATCATAGAAATGAAATGAACTGCTTGCTCAAACGAACATAAAGATCCCATAGGAGTTATCAAATCAGCACCTAGAAATGCTATGCCTGCTTATATCCCTTCAGTGATCACGTAAGTTTCTATTTCTTGTACCCTCCCCAACCCTGAAAGTTACAGGCAGAGTTTCTGCCATGCCAGAGCCATCCTGGATGTTTGAACTGTATTGTAAAGAGCTACTGAGAAAACCCACATGTATGAGCGGACTTCTCATTTTATCCACTCTATTCTGGTCTGGTGCTTCCCTGGACCGCAGAGCCTTGAAGGAAGACCTATTCTCCAGCACGTACCATTTGTCCCTTAATCATGTCCAGGATGACTGGGAGGTAGGAGTCCACGATCTCCTTGCATGAGGCGGACATGTCCGGCTTAGGAAGCCAATCACAGGTCTTCTCCAAGTACACGAGTATCTCTTGCTAGAGAGGACACAGGCAAGGGGCAGGTCAGGGTGCACGTCTCTACAAATGGGCTGAGAGCAGGAGGCCCTCCACAGCTCCCAGAAAAGTGAAGGCTGGAAAACAGCAACCCTCAGGCAGAGGACCTGGGAGAAGGCAGGTTGTAGCCATGGCTGTCACACTAATGGGGCAAGAAGCAGATCCTCCAACCTGTGATCTCACAGGCACAGGGAATTCTGAGGGAGCAGAGATAGCTAAACAGACCCAAAGGTTAACAGCATACAATACAAATCACAATCGACCTCAGGCATTGAACACCTGGGGGCAGAGAGAGCAAACTAGGGCCCACAGCCTGTTTTTGCACAGCTTCTGAGTAAGAATGGTCTTTACATTTTTAAAAGATGGGAGGAGGAGGGGACTATATGACAAAAACAGTATGTGGCCCAGATAACCTAATTATATCCTACCCGGGCCTAGACCATTCCTTGTTAGACTTCCCCCCGCCCCAAGTCACAGCTTTTTAAGCAACCGATGCATGTAGCCACAAGGCCACCATTCAGTCACACACACTCGTGGCAGCTTACCTCAGTGGCATTGTCTTTCAACATGTTGTTAGCTGCAATGATGACATCTTTGCATACATCGCAGGGGAGAGATTTCTAAAAGGAAAGAACACAAGGGAGAGATCTATATTTGCAGGATATAACTCGCCACACACAGCTGAAACCCCCAGGGACATGATCATGGCCACATCTGACACACAGGCACATTCTGGTTCCCCAACCTAAACAGGAAGCACTCCTGCACGTGCTACCCCTCAGCACCTTACTCAGTGCACCCAGTATAAGCCGAACTTCCTATTAATGCTCACAACAACCCTGCAAGGAAACAGGCTCAGGAAAGTGAGAATCAGAGCAGTGGAAACCAGAGAAAATCTGTAAGGCAATGCAATATCACCAGGACCAATGTCACCACCACAGAGCTACAGGGGCAGGCAGGGAAACAAGCCCCAGCTCAATACTGGTGCTTCTGCACACTCACAGGGCACTGCTATCTGCACTCCATCTACCTTCCATTTCGGGTCAGCGCTGTGCTCAGGTGGAGGTGGTCGCCACTCCTTGTCTTAGGGACATGACCAGTCTTTGACAAGCCTACACATCCAGGACCCCACATGGCCTAGGACCATGGGAAATCTGGTTGGTTCTCATAGCTCTTGGGGAGCTCCGTTCTTGATATCAACTGATTTCGAACCATGAAGAAGGAACTAAGGTGTCTGGGTAAGATTAAGGGACACCTGTGAACTTGGCTGCATTCAGAGAAACCTACTTGAACCTTTGGACCTAGTCAGGCTAATAATGTGCATGGAGCCAACCAAGAGAGTCCAGCATCATTCATGACGCTGTCTTATCAAAAGAGAAAGATTTAATACCCAAGCTTGACACACATTAACCCTGAAAAGAGGAAGCAGTATTAAAGATAAGATCAGCAGTAAATCAGAGACCAAATCTGAAAGTCACTGTGACCACAGTCCAGTGAATTCAGAAAATATTTCTTAAAGAGCAATGTTATTTAATTATTATTCTCTTACTGAGCCACTAAGTTTTATTTATTTTTAATCCTCGCCCAAGGATATTTTTTCCATTGCTGTTTCAAAGAGAGAATGGAAGGGGCGGGGGAGAGAAACATCAATGTTACAGACACATCAACTGGTTGCTTCCCATACGTGTCCCGACAGGGACAGAGCCTGCAACCAAGGTGCGTGCCCTTGTTCGGACTCGAACCCGGGACCCTTCAATCCACGGGCCGACACTCTAACTGCTGAGCCAAACCAGCCAGGGCCCATCGAGTTGTTTAAGAACTTGAACTCCACTCAGTCAAACCCAGTCTGCACCACAGGAAGTATGCATCCCAGAGTGAGCAGAGAGTGAGCCAAGCAAAGCCCGGCGTCTCCTGAGAGGGCTTGGGTCACGGGCAGAACACACTTGAGGTTTGTGATCTTGCAGTATTTCCCTGCAAGTGCTAAGTGCACCACATGAATATGCTATATTTAACACTGTTTGGATGGAAAAAAAATTAGTAGCATCTTTTCCAGTTTGATTATAACTGGAAAGAAATCTACTAAAGCTCTAGGATCTGAATTATTGACCCAAACAGGCAGCTGTCTGAGAGAGGCAGAGAAAAAACCATCAAAAAGGAGGAAAGGATCTGAAAAGCTTAACATCTAGATTTTGAGTGAGTGACCAAGGATGAGAGTTATCCCCGTGTGCCCAGTTCTGGGAATGGAAGCTGTGACCCTGCTGGTCCCTGATCTGGGGTAGAGGTGGGACCTGCACAGAGGCCTGGAGAAGCAGGGAGCACAGCGCGAGGGCGTGGGAGGACCTCAGCCTCTTGCTGTCACCAAGAGGCTGGGTGACCATGGGGGGCCGGAACCTCAACCTCTCCAGCCTCCGTTCCCTCTGTGGTAAAATGGGGCGCCCACCAACGGTCCTGCCTCCTCACAGGATCCCGAAGAGGAGCAAACAAAACGAGGCCAGAAAAAGTGCTTTGTGAACGGCAGTCCTCAGAGATGGCGCGAAGGGATGGAGCACAGAGCTACGGGCACTCACCACTGTGGGCTTGCTCCAGACAGTCTGCAGGCAGTGCTTCACGGCCCCGCAGTCAGTGGCTGTCTTCACATTCTGGCACCACACTGCTGAGCCCCTGGTGCATTCTTTCAGGCCCAGGACAGGGCTGGCTACAGCTGAAAGGAAAACCACTATGAGAAGGTGGCTCATTTCCCACCCCAGGGCCACCGCACTTGTTTACCCAGGGTTAAGGGCCAGCCCTGGCATTTAGCTTGGACCCTCACCCGGCTACATGAAATGCAAACCAGAGGTACCGCATCCAGACAAGAAGCTGTGTTGTCATATAAGTTACAGGGCTGGAAGGGACTAATTTATCTGGTTCACTTTTTTCCTCTCAAACTATTTAGAAACCATATTAGGGAGTATCAGACCTCTGAATCTTTATAACCTTAAAAAAACATTACACGATGTAATGAAACAAATCACAAGAGACTGACATTTAAATATAGATTTTAACTTCTGTAGAATGGAAATTAGCCAGTTTTTGTTTGTTTTTTTAATCTGTAGGGATAAACACCAAGATTCATATCCTTATTACACAGAAAAATGAGTCTTAATGTCCTAATAGAAAAACTCTTTACAAACCTAATTTTGTGAGTTTTTACACATAAACAAGTTTACTAGCAAAATAGCAAGACCACGTATCACAAAGCAAACATGTCCACTCAAAACCAGGTGCACAGTGTTTCACCTATTGTGGTAATGAGATCAGAAATCACATGCATAGAAGGGGATTAGGAAAAAAGAGAAAGGTTCAACATCACTTGAGACTAAGGAAAAGCAGATTAAAAAGGTGCCATATTTTTGCATTCTTATAATACTGATAGCAGTATGATTGGTTTTCTTTTTTTTGTTTTAGTTTTTATTGATTTGAGAGAAAAAGGGGGAAGGAAGGGAGGGAGGGAAGCAGGGAGGGAGGGAGAAACATTGATTTGTTGCTCCACTTATTTATGTATTCATTGGTTGTGCCCTGACCGGGGATCAAATCCACAACTTTGATGTATTGGGACAACACTCTAACCAACTGAGCTAACCAGACAGGGCCTGATATTTCTTAATATACTAATTTATTTCAAGAAATGAAAAAATATCCCTCTTCAAAAAGTAATCCATTTCTGCTGGATAGAGGGGGGTAAAGGGTGGGAAAATGGGGAGCATCTGTAATACTGTCAATAATAAAAAATAAATTTTTAAAAAAGTAATCCACTTCTAGAAATACATTTTAAGGAAACTGAGCAATTCAAAAGGTAAAATATGATAAGCATAAATATATTAAGTATAATTCACAATACTAAAAAAGTAGATGCAACTTGAATAGAAAAAATAAACTATGTTATTAAAATATTATGTAGCTTTTAAATATAATGTATAATAGAAAAAATTCAAGAATACGACATTATATGAGTTATACAAAAATAAGAAAAGAATAACAAAGCAGGGTGGTTAGCTGAATTATTATTTAATCCCTAATATTACATTGTGTATAATTGTTAAAAAATATTTTATAAACTGCCTTAAGAGTTCCTATTGTTTCTTAAAAGAGGTCTATGGTTATCCTTGAATTTGAAACAACAGATCACATCAAGCTACATGTAGATGGATGACTGTGCAGGTGGTACACTCCAGCAGACAGTGATATGAAGGGAGCCAGAAAGAAGATGGACATCAACAGACAGAAGCAGGGCCAGTGAGCAGTCCTCTCTGCATAAGGCCTGACCAGCATTCTCCAGTTTTACAAATACTCAGTCCAGTAGATCTCTGACCCAAGGAAAAACCCTCACTAGGAAACAACAGATCGCATCGAGCTACACGTAGATTGAGGACTGTGCAGGGGGCAAACTCCAGCAGACAGCACAGTGGTGGTTTCCTATTGTCTGAGAAGAAAACCCCACAGCCACCTGAGAAAGAGTTACAACCTCAGAAATCATGCTGCATGTTGCTTCCACTTGTAAGCCGAGAGGGCTCAGTAATTTTACAGACGTTTAACATGCATGTGCACACGCAGGCACAGTATACAACATAGGTCAGTAGGTCCTCTCCTTTCAATGGAGGGAAGGAAATGAAATGCTATTATTACTAGCTGTCCAACCAAAGCTAAAGTTCCACAAACTACCCACACAAAGACTGAGTCACAGGTCCCCAAAAGAGCTCAAACCAGATTATCTGCACCCTTTCAGAGACCAGCAAATGTATTATTTTATCTGCTGCCCAGGTTTCAGCCTTCTCTGCCCCTTGGGAGCTAAAATCACCACAACTGGTTCATGAAGTCAACTGAATTAGCCACATTCTAAAAGCTGTTGGTGTGAAATTTGGTTTCCATGGGAAAACGTGCCAAATTCAAACAGTACTAAGCTCCCCAGCCAGCCCAGGAAAATTTAACTAGTAATGCAACCAAGCTAGGCTGGGGATGGCCCTCAGCTATAGGTCTGGGGAGGTACAGGGAGCAGAAATTCAGTCCTAAGAATGAGTGCTCTAGGGAGTGCTGGTCACAACATGAATGGCAGCCCCAGACCTGGCAGCTCCCACCAGCACCTGCCATGCTCCTCTGAGTCACTGGGCCCCAGGACTTCCGAAAAGCACCTACTAGGCTACACTGCCTGGTTCTACCTCCAAATCAGGAGGAAGGAGCGAGCCCAAATAATGGAGCCCAAATAATGAACAGGAAGCTACAAAATGAGTCTCTAGGCAAAGGAACACACAAAGATACGAGGGGAGCCAGGCAGAGGATGGACATCAACAGACAGAAGCAGGGCCAGTGAGCAGTCCTCTGCACAAGGCCTGACTAGCATTATCCAACCTTACAAATACTCAGCCCAGTAGATCTCTGATCCAAGGATTTTCTCCAACCATCCCAGCCAGGAACTGGCTACAAATGACCAAAATCTATCAGGTTCAGGGAACAAAATGCACCACTATAGGCCCAAGCAGCAAAAACACTTTGTAGCTTATTTCTTCTAGGAACTTGAAACAGTAATCATTTGCAATAATGACTTTATTATTTATCTTGGCCAGGCTATTCTGGACTAAAATTCCTTTGGGTAACCCCTTTTATCTGAGAATGGCACAGCTAACAAACCGAAGGTCATTTCCTAGTCCCAACAGTGTCTGTTAATGAAGCAAGGCAAGCCCCAGCCCCCACGTCAGAACCAGAGATAAAAGGCATGCATGGTAGCCAATCTGGTTGATCTATGAAGTCATCAAAGTCAAGCCTAAAACTGATTTCATGGACACTNGTCTGTTAATGAAGAAAGGCAAGCCCCAGCCCCCACGTCAGAACCAGAGATAAAAGGCATGCATGGTAGCCAATCTGGTTGATCTATGAAGTCATCAAAGTCAAGCCTAAAACTGATTTCATGGACACTAAGAAATGAAACTAAAGTCCCAGCTCCTGTAAATTCAGTTTTCAGCAAAACATCCCCATCTACCTCCAACCTGAAGCCAAATTCATAAAGGTGATTATTACAAAAAACAGTCTGTGGTATACAGCAGATGTGATTTCCTAAGGTGACCCAATGTATACTGACAGAAATAAGTGTCCTCAGGTTTGGTAATGCAAGGCTGTAACACAAGCCTCAGTGACACCAGTGAGCTACCTGCTGAGAGGTTCAGATGCTTGTTTTGGGAGATCTCCTGAGAGGGAAGCAAACAATGGGTCAGACTATGGGGGGACATGAATCCTGTCCTCAGAAAATGTATTCATACACAAAATCCTCACACCAATTCAGGGGCTCTCAGGCACCACACCACCTATCCAGGGACCCAAGTTGTGCACGGAAAGCTCTGGTGGCAAGCATGGGTTTTCTCCACAGAAGTGAGGAAACAACTAAGACAAAGGCAGGATTGTTAACTTCCGCTGACTGTGCCAAGCTCAGGCCCTCAGGCAGGAGACCAAAGTGAACAGACGCAGATCTTTGATGCCACAGTGGGAGGGACAGGCCCTACAGTAAACAGAAAAGCTGGGGCCCACATAAACAGAGCAGCAAAGAAAATGACTAACTGCCTAGGGGGAGCTAGAGGTGGCTTCTTCAAAATGAATTTGAACTGCGAAATCAAAGACTGGCTAAGTGGAGAGGGCATAGGGGAAACTGCTGAGCACTCCAAGGCATAGCAGTTCTCTTTTGTCAAAGGGGAAGAATTCTCCTTTGTCTTTTCAGGGAGTGGGGCAAAGAGAAGTGGCAGAGACCAGACTACAAAGACAGACCTCAGTCACACGGGAAAGACATAATCTGGCATGCTCATCCCCATATGAGTCCATCCTCTGGGCAATAGCTTAAGTAAGTGTCTTCAAAGCCGGAGCATGATGGGGCAGAAGACTGAAAAGGAGGTGGGAGGATTCAGATGACAGGACTCCTAACTGGAACGAGAACTCATTCCAAAATGTCCAGGCAAGAAGCGGTTGGCAGCAAGGGCTGACAGAGGCTGACAGAAAGATTCCAAAAGAACAGGATAGCTGGCAAAATGAAACTCACAGGGTTGAATGGAAATGAAATATGAAGTCTCTTTGGTCAGTGATTTTTCAGTGTGTCGCAAGAATTTTTAAAACATGCAATACCTGACTAACTAGTCAGGGGCACTGAACTCTTTTCCCTTAGATTGTCAAATAAAAAAATGACAGCAGCCAACACAAGAGCCGTCCAGTGTGAGTGTCCTGTCTTGAACCATAAATATAAATAAGGTTGCATCTGAGTGGTTAATTCTTGGTATCAGAAATCCTTATATACAAGTATGAGCTCCTGATTTTTTAAAAAGTCACTGTGAAGCAAAAAGGGTATTATTTTTTTTGTAAATCAATCAAAATTGTATGTGCCCTGAGATGAAAAAGGTTGAAAGTCACTATCTAAAGCTAAAAGAGAAGATAAAACAAAAACAGCAAGAGCCAACAAAACAAGGATGGAGGTGGTGGTCAGAAGCTGAGCTGCCCAAGCCAACAGGAGGGGAGGGCAGGGCACAGGCCACAGGAAGCACAGAACGCGCCTGTGCACTCTGCTTCCCGAGAAACGGCAACAAGTACAGCAGGCCGGAAGGTGAAGGCACATGACACCATTCTGGAGTTCCCTAGAAGACTGGGAGCGTCTGGCTGGGAGAATGTTTTGGAGATACACACTCGTCTTCAGAG